TTCTTGATCCAGCGCTGCTCCCACTGCTTCATGGCGTTCGTCTTGTTGGGGGAGCGAAGCATCGTCACGCAGCCACACCTGTAGAGGGCGGTGTGTCACATTTTACGGGGGCTCCGAGTGATCGGATACTGCAATGACATCACTTCCTGTGGGCTCACCTGGTGCAGGCCTTGCTCTCCTCAGTGGGGCTGACACCCATGTGAATGCAGCGCAGGTTGTCCATCTTCTGAGCTCCAGGACTCCTAAACACAAACACAGGTGAGGTCACCTGCAGCCAGAGCCCTGCGCTGCATCGGGCCAGGTGAGGTTTACCTGGTGAACACATCCAGGGGGGCGGCGCCTCCCACACCTTGCAGCGACGAGGCTTTCCCAAACTGCAGCCGCAGCGGCAGCTTCCCTTGCAGCTTCACGATGATGCCGTCGTTCACTGGGAGCCAGTCCATACTGGGAACCAGCAGCTGACTGGGCAGCAGGCAGCACTCATCTATCAGGCTCTCGTCGGGTTCCTGGGGGGGGCCGTCGTCCCGCGCTGCCAATTAGGGGACAGGAGTGGGGTCTTAGTGTAAGGAGCCCATTAATTAAACCCTAACATCCAATTTACGTAATGCCACTCATAACACCACTGAAGTTCTGCTTTCCCCCACACCCTGAACGCATCACCTGCCCTCCATGTTACAGTCATACATATCAGAGTGACATCCTGCGCCAGCGAGCTCGGTGTGTGTTGCGGCGTGGCGCCTTACAGCACAGCCACAGCTTGGTGAGCAGCCGGAACAGCAGCTGCATGCTGTCCTGGTTGTCTGACATGGCGGTGAAGGTGGGCAGGCAGCCGGGCTTCAGCAGCCCCCAGATCCGGATCATCACCAGCATCTCCCGCAGCATTCCCAGCGACGCCCCGTCTCTCATGAAGCCGAACCCGGGCCGAACCGCCGAGCCCTGCGGGAGGACGGGTCAGGGGTCAACGGCTCTCGCCTTGGCCGGATGAGGCGGCTGCAGGCTAAGCCGCCGTGAGGTCACCCACCTGGCTCACCTGGTTGGGAAGGTTGGCCAGCAGGTAGAGGACGAAGTCCCCCACCCATTGGATGAGCTGCTGCAGGGACTGCAGGGGGGGCCCGTCCAGGACGAACTCCTCTGTCTTCAGGTTGATCATCACCTTATCGATGTCTGAGGACACACGGCGCTCAGGTCAGACGCCGCTCTCCTGGCCTGGCGGCGGGTCGCCCGGCGCTTACCTGTGTCGGTGTTCTTGGTGCAGATCTCGGTCAGCCGGTCGCCCGGACTCTTGTCCGGCGTGTTGAGGACGTGCGGACGTAGCAGGGACTTCAGGGTGGAGCTGATGGCGATGAGCAGCAACTTGGCGTGGAAGTCGCACGCCCGCGCCGCCGTCGCCGTGGAGAGTTTGCAGAGAGACGCCTTGACAGCTACGATCCGCGTGGCCAGAACCTGCAGCGATCAGAGATCAGTGGAGAAAGGGTGCACCGCTGCGGCGGCAGCTGCGGCGGCGGCCCTCACCTGCTGCAGCGCCTGGTTCTGCCGCATGTACTCCTCATGCAGCTTCTCCACCAGGTTGTGCACCATGCTGGGCTGCACGTGCAGCAGCACGTCCCACCAGTCGTAGCCCGTCACCATGCAGTACTCCAACAGGAACAACAGGTGACGCAGTGTGGTGTTCATGTCCAGCACCTGGCCCATAGAGGGCGACACGCGCAGCATGTGGAGCTGAGGACAGACACCAGGACAAAAGGTTTCCTCTGCAGAGATTCAGCCCCATGTGGCAACAGACGGAGACGGGCCTCACCTTGCCGTGGCCGTCCACCCCGGCCAGCGCCAGCGAGGTCCAAGAGAACTGCAGCGCCTTGAAGTGGAGGGCGGGGCCGGCGGTACGTGGACGCTTGATGGCAGCGTCGTCCCCGGGCCGCTGAGCGGAGCCGTAGAACACGCCCATGGTGTGGAGGGACAGGCGGTGCAGGATCTGGATGCTGCCATCGTGGAATGCCAGGGCCAGACCTGCACCCAGAACCAAACCGAGTCACAGAAGGCCGGGCCCGGGTCGGGTCCGGGGTCCGCAGCTTCCTCACCCAAGCCGGGGCAGAACTTTGTGTCCGACGCCACCTTCAGGTCGGTGTTGGAGATGGAGATGGGCAGCTTGGGCAGCGCCACAGCAGAGACGCGCTCCAGGTCACCGGTGGTCGTCAGGATGCGCCACTTCAAGATGGTAGGCTGCTTCTCACCCACTGCGCAGAAGTTGGGAGGTCAGGGGTCGGGCCGTCAGGGGTCAGGGTCGGAGAGGTGGGTCTTACCGACTGGAGAGCGGTGCTGGAAGATGTTGTTGACCGGAAGTCCCTCCTTCCTGAGGGACCAGCACTCCACAATGCTGCCGCCCTGATTGGACGCGCACAGCAGCACCTGCGACCGGAGGAGCCGTCAGAGAGGGGCCCGTTCCGACCCGGCCGGCCCCGACCCGGCCGGCCCCGACCCGGCCCGACGGCGCTCACCTGCTCAGAGTTCTCCCGGGTTAGGAACTTGAGGTGCGTGACGGCCGGATATTTGTCCCTCCGCAACGGGTCGGTGGTGCAGCGCAGGAAGAGCGACGGCAGCAGCTCCGTGTCGATGCGGCACTTCTCGCTCACCACGCTCACCACCACCTGCGCACGCCGCCTGGTTAACGTGTGCCTCGCCTGCGCATCATGTTACCGTAGCAACAGCATTGCCTTCGGCCCTCACCTTGTAGAATTGGACCGGCGAGGAGCTGCTGCCGTCGGTCGCCGCCACCACGATGTTCCCGCCACCGGTGAAGGCGATGTCCGCCAGCGCCACGCGGCCCCGCAGTCGGCACAGGCTCTCGCTGGCCGTCAGCAGAGCGCCGCCCGGCTTCAGCAGCGAAACCGTCACCAGGCCGCTCACCGTCACCGCCAGCCAGCCTTCCATCGGCTTCCCGCCAAACAGCGTCAGCGACGGTGAGAACTTGACCCGCGAGAACTTTTCTCCAAAGTTGGTGGAGCCAGACTGCGGCGAGAGGACAGGTAAGGCCCGGCGGCGCTCCACGCAGCCTGCGGCCTCTGAGAAGTGACCTTACCATCTCTACATGCAGCGCCAGCTTGACGCCGTTGTGCAGCCAGCTCAGCGCCACGATGGGGTCTCCGTCCACCGAGCTGCTCAGGGCGCTCTCCCAGCTGTTCACCAGGTGCTCTGACATCGACCAGCACTGGATCCTGCCGTCGCCGTCCGCCGACAGCAGGCGGGAGCCTTCAGAACCGGGTCGGGACCAGGATAAAACACAGCGAGACACAATAGAGAACCAGGAAACATCAGAAGCCTGCAATTAAAACCCTGCAGAACTGGGTCAGAACGTCCAAGAGTTACAGAATTTGGACAACAGAAGACTTGGGTGAAGCTCACCTGATTGGTCCCACTCCAGACAGGAAATGACTTCACTGTGGCCAGAGTTGATGGAGAACACATCCCATGGATGCTCTGTGTCGATGATGTGGATCATGTGACTAACATCTGGAAGATGAACGGGTTCTGATTGGGTCAGAGTGGGTTCTGATCAGGTCAAAGTGGGTTTTCCCAGGTCTCTGGTCCCTGCCTACCTTTGGTGTCGTCATCATCGTTCTTTAGGTCGGTGGTGAAGGCCACCAGGTTCCTGCAGGACCAGGAGCTCACCAGTGGGATGGACGGACAGTGGGTGTTCTTTGGACGCTTCTCCCAGTCGCACACATACGCCAGCTCCATCTCTGAACCACTGAAGAAGAACCAGGACAGGTGGGCGCCTCACCTGAGAGAAAACAAACATCTGGTGAGGC